GGGGCAGCGACATCTGCGTGCGGTTCGCCAGCGGCTGGCGTACCGGTACTTGCAGCAACCAGTCCGATTGTTGAGAAGGCCCAAGTGGACCGCCCTTTTTCTCAATCGTTTTTTTTTTTTCGCGTTCCCTCTCGACGAATATCGATCGGAACACCATTACACGACAAAGTACGAGTACGCCAATTTGCAAGGGCAAGGCAGCAGTGGCTCGACCAGCGGAGAATTGTGTTCTGTTTCTACCGGTCCAACGCGGCGTGAGACCATGCAAGGGTCTCGGGATCGCAGTTCCTGGCTCATCATCTTCAACGGAGTATTGTTGCGGCGCCGAAAGGAATTGCGCGTGATTCTGCGATACGGCTTATCTGGACCTGTGTCACTCTGGAGTCCTAGACATGCCTACGAATTCGGACAATCTGACCCCTCCTTGTCTCGGGCATTTGGCTGCTCTGCTTTCGTTGCTCTGGCACCACACTTCAAGTACATACGATTGAATACCTGGACATGCGTGGGAGCTGCGGCAGCGCCCAACAAAGACGCATCTCGCTGCACAGAAGCCTGGAGGCGCGCCATGTCCAGCACCCCAATGGGACAAGGCTGAGGGTCTCCTGCGCTAAAGTGCCGCGATCACAGCACCGGCACCGCTGGCTCAGGCACAAGTACATACGTATGTACAGCCAGACGTATTCGTACCCGTTCTGCGCAGTGGGCCGTTGGGCGGGCAGGGGACCAGGACGCAACCAGTCAGCCACCAACCCCACCATCAGCGAGCCATTGCCCCTCCATCTGCACTTGGCCATCACTAGCAGCAGCACCCAGACGCGAGCAAGAGAAGTGGACGGATGAGGGACAATCTTTCGACTGCCGGACGATGCCCTGCTAGCGGCACTCGCTGTCCTGGGCGCCGGATACGACCCAATGCGCGGAATGAATGAGGGCTTGTTGACAGGAGGGACATTGAGAGGCAAGGCCTGGATCCCCTGGTTCTCGCCAGGGCAACGAGGAGGCGAGGAGGGAGGCATCGTGATCGTGGGCACGAGCACAGATTGCGGCCGTTCCAAACCGGGATTGCATGGGATGAGATGACGGGAACCCCCCCGCGTGTTTGCGAATGCGAATCAGCCAGGGGGAGTCATTTTGGATTTGGTCAATCGAAGGATCGCAGCCCTTGAAGGCCACTCACAGTTCCCAGCAAAGCTTGCATTCCAGGCAAATCCAGGCACTCGATTCGACGAAGCAGCCGACACAAGGAAATCGGGAGCAGAATGCGTGGCTCGGCGAGGTACCGGTACGACCGGATGCCAGCCGGTGTTAGTGGCCATGGCCAGGCCGCGACCGGGATCTCCCATCATATCATCTGTGTCTCAGAGGCGCTCAAGGTTGTTGCTATTCAACAATTCTGAGTTAGACCTACGGCCCTCCACCCCTCCCAAAATAGATCCCCAACTCGTTGTGGTGGCTTGTTGCCGTGCGAATTGACTTTCTGATTACGCCCCCCTCCTCGAGCTTGAAAAAGCATCGGAACCTCTCTTACCCGCTTGCAGAGGCACACGACGACGCCAATATTAGGTCGCTGGGAGCACGTTGGACGAAATCAGCGGACCACGACACGCATTATTGTCTTCATCCTGCGTCAGCGCCGTTGCAATATTGGGCGCCACCCTCACAGCCATCCATCCCCTCCGGTAAGCATCTCTCGCCTTCTTGTCCTCTCCCCCCGTCCAGCATCGCTTTCACACTTTGGCACCTGGCTGCGCGTAAACACGCCGATCGCCGCTCTTGGGGTTCTGGCTGCCGTTAGGCGGTGCAAGGCTTCGCTGGCCGAGTCCGCCCTTCCCCACCGTTTCGGAGGCCCAGGTACCCACGGGGCTAGTGCTCGTACCGGGTACGTCCGCGGCGCCTCCACGCTGGTACAGGGCGCCCCTCGCCGCACATGGTGGACGGGGTGCGCTGCCGTAGCGTGGTACTTGCGTGCGCGGCGGGTGCTTGTACGGATACGGCGCGAGACTTTGCAGCCCAGCCCAGCCCAGCCCATCCCGCTGAGCTCGAGCCCCGCCCTGCGCGTCTGGCTGGCTGCGAGAGCTAAAGCAAAAGCAGCGGTTCCAGGTCCAGTGTCACTGCTGTGTGCTGCGCTGCGCTGCTCTCCTGAAATCTGGCTCTCCCCCGTTGAAGGGCCTCTCTGCATCCTTCAATTGTCTGCCGCGCTCTCTTCCCTCTTCCTCTCCCTCTTCTTGCAAATCCATCTCCCGCCATCTTCATCCTGTCTTTTGTGGTCTTTTGCCTTGTCTCGGTGTGGGCAGACGCAGAATAGCCTCTATTAATCTTGCCAGTCAAGCTCAGCTGTTGACCGGTGCCTTTTTCTTTGCAGGACGCAGCTCACCCCGCCATTTTCTTCCTGCCTCACCTCTTTTTTCCCCCTCCTCCTCCAAAACAACTTCAACCACCGCTTGACCAGCTCGCACACACATCACCATGTCTGGCTCCAAGGATCAGCTGTCGGCCAACGATAGAATCCAGCGCTTCGCTGCCCCCAGCCGCCCTCTCAGCCCTCTGCCGTCGCACGCCCTCTTCTCCGAGAAGACGCGATGCTTCGTCTACGGCCTGCAGCCCCGCGCCGTCCAGGGCATGCTGGACTTTGACTTCATCTGCAAGCGCAAGACGCCCTCGGTTGCCGGCATCATCTACACCTTTGGTGGCCAGTTCGTCAGCAAGATGTACTGGGGCACCAGCGAGACTCTGCTGCCCGTCTACCAGCAGACCGAGAAGGCCATTGCCAAGCACCCCGACGTCGACGTCGTTGTCAACTTCGCCTCCTCCCGAAGTGTCTACAGCTCCACCATGGAATTGATGGAGTTCCCCCAGATCAAGACCATTGCCATCATTGCTGAGGGTGTTCCTGAGCGAGTAAGTTCCTGTTCTAAATTCTTTCTAAGTCTCTGTCTGCTCCAATTGCTGGGGAGAGGGGGGAAATGGAGAGGGCGGACAATAGAAGATCCATTGGAACCCAATTGCTGACCGTCTGTTCCTCTAGCGAGCTCGTGAAATTGCTCATGTCGCCAAGAAGAAGGGCGTCACCATCATTGGCCCCGCCACTGTCGGTGGCATCAAGCCCGGCAGCTTCAAGATCGGTAACACTGGTGGCATGATGGACAACATTGTGGCCTCCAAGCTGTACCGCAAGGGTTCCGTCGGCTACGTCTCCAAGTCTGGTGGCATGTCCAACGAGCTCAACAACATCATCTCCCAGAACACCGACGGCGTCTACGAGGGTGTCGCCATTGGTGGTGACAGGTATCCCGGTACCACCTTCATCGACCACCTTCTGCGATACCAGGCCGACCCCGACTGCAAGATCCTGGTGCTGCTCGGTGAGGTTGGTGGTGTTGAGGAGTACAAGGTGATTGATGCCGTCAAGCAGGGCATCATCACCAAGCCCATTGTTGCCTGGGCCATTGGTACCTGCGCCAGCATGTTCAAGACGGAGGTCCAGTTCGGCCACGCCGGCTCCTTTGCCAACTCACAGCTCGAGACGGCCACCGTCAAGAACCAGTCCATGCGCGAGGCCGGCTTCCACGTCCCCAACACCTTTGAGGACATGCCTGCCGTGCTCAAGGAGGTCTACGAGAAGCTCGTCAAGGAGGGTACCATTGTCCCCCGCCCCGAGCCCGGCGTCCCCAAGATCCCCATCGACTACTCCTGGGCCCAGGAGCTCGGTCTCATCCGAAAGCCCGCTGCCTTCATCTCCACCATTTCCGACGACCGTGGCCAGGAGCTCCTCTACGCTGGCATGCCCATCTCGGACGTCTTCAAGGAGGACATCGGCGTTGGCGGTGTCATGTCCCTGCTGTGGTTCCGCCGCAGACTGCCCGACTACGCCTCCAAGTTCCTGGAGATGGTCCTCATGCTCACTGCCGACCACGGTCCCGCCGTGTCTGGTGCCATGAACACCATCATCACCACCCGTGCCGGCAAGGACCTGATCAGCGCCCTCGTCTCCGGTCTGCTGACCATTGGTTCCCGCTTCGGTGGTGCCCTTGACGGCGCCGCTGAGGAGTTCACCAAGGCCTTTGACAAGAACCTCAGCCCCCGTGACTTCGTGGACAGCATGCGCAAGCAGAACAAGCTGATTCCCGGTATCGGCCACCGCATCAAGTCCCGAAACAACCCCGACCTGCGTGTCGAGCTTGTCAAGGAGTACGTCAAGGCCAAGTTCCCCAGCCACAAGCTGCTCGACTACGCCCTGGCCGTCGAGACCGTCACAACCTCCAAGAAGGACAGCCTGATCCTCAACGTCGACGGCTGCATTGCCGTCTGCTTCGTGGACCTCATGCGCAACTGCGGTGCCTTTTCCGCCGAGGAGGCCGAGGACTACCTCTCCATGGGTGTCCTCAACGGTCTGTTCGTTCTGGGCCGAAGCATTGGTCTCATTGCCCACTTCCTCGACCAGAAGAGACTGCGCACCGGTCTGTACCGTCACCCTTGGGATGACATTACCTACTTGCTGCCCAACCTCAGCGAGGGCCAGCCCAGTGGTCAGGGCAGAGTGGAGGTTCAGATCTAAGTGGGAGTTGAGAAGTAAAAGAGGGATAGAGAGACATTATAAAATAGCTGTGGCCGTTTGATGGATTTGGGAAGGGCTGGTTTGTCAAGGCTTCAAGTAGCAGCACACATGCTTGTAGTCGCTGCGGGATCGTTATGAGGATTTAAATCATACATTATTGATGACAATAGATGAAACTAATTCACCATTATAAAAATCGCGCCCTTTCTTGCCCATTGCAAAGTCATAATCGCTTCGCTATTTGTATCAAGTGATGACTGTCTAGCAGCTGTTTTGGGTGCACGTTAGCCTTCCCGGTTTCCGTCACGTGACATGGACGAGGCTGTCGATGTGAAGTGGGATGATATCTTATCGCGACGACTTGCACTTTATCCCAGCTACGAAGCAGCTCCAATCCTATAACTAGACCTCATCCACCCTCCAATCTCCTTGTCCGAGGCGAAGGAACGATAGAAGGGTGATTCTACATTGAATTCCTTCTTACAGCATAGCCAACGGGAGCTCTCCGAGCGGAATATTTGTACGGGTCGAGTCTTGCATCTCTTTTTTTCTCCTCTTGAGCGTCACCGGGTTTGCTAACACATGCGCCTCAGTTGAGCGAATCCCGAAAGTTCAACGACTGCCCAGATTCCTCTTCTCCGATTGTAATTTTACAGTTGCTTTCGATCGACCAGATCACTTCCATAAAGCAGCCCACCATAAACACCACCCGAAAGAGAGAGAGAGCGCGAGGCCTCCCCCCCAAAAGCGGACGATTAAGAGAGATAAGAAGGAGAACAAATAAACAACTTAAAGAAAAAAGAGGAAGCTTGAGAGAGAAAAGAAAAGAAGAAAAAAATGTCCTTCTTCCGCATCACTCTGCACCGCTCCGCCATCGGCCTCCCCGAGCGCACGCGGGGCGTCCTCCAGGCGCTCGGCCTGCGGCGGCGCATGCAGACCGTGTTTCACCCGGCGGAGCCGCAGTTTGCGGGCATGATTATGAAGGTCAAGGAGCTGGTGCGCGTGCAGGAGGTGGAGAGGAGGTTGAGCAAGGCGGAGGTCAAGGCGGAGAGGACGCCGGAGAGGGGGTTTTATGTTGAGAGGGCGGTGAAAAGGATGTGAAACTTTTTTTTTTTTTTTCTTTTGGGCCTGCTTTTTACTTCTTGGGAGCAGGAACATCGTCGGCTGCGATGGTTTGTTTGGGAAGGGGTTGGAGGGATGGGATGGGATGGGATTGGGGCCTGAGGAGGAGGTTGAGATGTGCAAGGGGGAAGATGTATATACGTTGGGGGGAGGAAAGGTTGGGGATCTACACGATTGAGGTGGACGTGATGTGCTTCACTTGTACGATATTGTAACGGCTTTCGAAAGAATTCGACAAACAGCTTTTTTTCTGTATTCTGTTGCTCCCACACCTCCCCTAAACCCAAAGCACTATATTGGAAGCGAAAAAAACACACAAGACAAGATTAACCGTTCCATGCATTAAAAGAAGAACTAAGTGATCCATTCCAAAAAAAAAACCAATTCCAACTGAAACAGGCATCATCAAACAGGCCAGACAAAAGATGGCTCATCTGACACCCAAAGATGGCTTAAACGAGCACTATTTGACACCCAAAGTGCTCGAGAGAAAGATGCACAGGGGTTGCTTTGTAAAAAGTTCAGACCCGCTGGCGATGACGGCCCGAGGAGGATTCCTAAAAGCTTCGGGCCTTGTCAATGTACTCCTGGGAGGGTGTCTCGTACTCGTTGACAAAGTACGTTTCGCAGTTGCGGCCCAGCCAAGAGGTGAACTTTCCGATTTCTTCTCGAAGCCGGGATACGGATTGTTGATCCATGTTCGTCTGGGCGAGAAGTTCGGGCAGGGAAACTAAACACCAATGTCAGCCGATGTTTCTATCAAAGAAGTGTTTGGGAGACAGCTGCCGCTGTGTCATCACGAACCAATGAGGCGGGCAAGATGCTCTGCGCCGTAGACATCGCAGACACTCTTGTACTGCGCGTTCTCGTCGGCATTGTCCCAGAGTTTCCGCAGATCCATGTACTGATGACGCTCAAATCTGGAAACATGTGTGTAAGCAAAACACCAAAGTGTTGGAGTAGATAGATGCCCAAGCCCGCATACCTATAGAGCAGTATCCTACTAAGAGCCTTCTCGAAATACTCTCTGAAACCGGCAATGACCTCCTCCAAGATGTCCATACTAGACGACCCTTCTTCTCTGCGTGGCCGCTCGACAGCAAGATAGTCCTCAAAGATTTTGGAGACTGGATTTGCGTGCGGTAAGGGGACGAGCTGGTTGTTCTTGGTGATGTTCTCCCAGTCGTCGACGAGCATCGCTTGTATGTGATCAGGCACGGAAATGTTGATCATCGGTTTGCTGTGGAATGCGTCCTCCTGTGAAGTTGTGAGAATGTATTTGGGGCAAGAACTCGCAAAATGTGACGGAACAAGTGAAGTGATCGACGGCGAATACTCATAAATGGAACGTAGAGGCTTTAGAGAGGGGATGCAACAGGGAAACATGTGGGGGAAATTGAAAGGCTCCTTGGTGCGGCATCGCCAAAGAATCCAGAACCCGTTATCCAAGTTCGGCATCGCTCAGCCAGGGCAGTCTCAGGATGACTTTTGTGCCCGAGGGGACCTTCGTGCTTGGCAAGACATCTGTGCCCTTTGTGCTCGGATATATCTCCCCTCCTCAAGAAGTGCTGCGTGCCGGTTTCTCCATGTCAACCCGAGCTTGATTGGGCCTCTACGAGGATGACAGGGAGGCTCAGGAGACGACTCAGACTTGATCTTGGCTCCCGTAGCAAACTCATCTTCGAGATAGCCACAGATCCTCTCTGTCCTGTCATCGTCCGTGGTCCAGGCGCCAAAGAAGAGCTGAAGCTTCATCAGGCGGAGCAGCTCAGGAGCAATGGGGGGATTGGCCTCCTCGGCTTTGATAGCCTTTGGAGCTTGAGCAGCCATCGCGGCATAATCCGCCTCCCGGTTCTTGTATGTAATTTTGAGCCTGGTCTGGCGGCGGCGGCCAGGCTCGATGACCGGCTCGGAGGGGACCTGGGCTTCCCTTGCCAAGTCTGCGGCCCGGTTGTTGTATGTGAGCCTGAGCATAATTGCTGCAGGCTTTGAAGACGGCTGAGACCTGTGCCGGCTGGCTGGCTCAGGCCCGGACGCGGCCTGTGCCGAGGTCTTGGTGGAAGACCTCGCAGGCATCTTTCTCTCTGCGCCGGTGGTGAGGCGCGCAAGCTTGACCTTGTTGCTCCCTTTTGGAGAGCGGACTGTCGCTGGTGAAACGTCGGAGAGAGAGTAGAACCGTAGAAAAGCGGCGTTTCAATGGTCGAACGCGTATCGAGAAGGAATGCAGCCGATGTGCATATACTTCTGTCCGAGAGTTGGAAACGTTCTTACACCCGTCCGAAGCAAAGGGGAGGACAGCCACGGTTATATAGCTGACTGGTAACCCCTCCTCCGGTCTGCAGTCTCTCGCTGTTGACTCTCATCGACTGAACGGGCATAACTCGAAAGCAGCCCTCAACTCTATTTCAGGCCAGCCCTCAGCCTTGTCGTACGCCGAATGCCAGTTGAGCGAGTACAATGGGGATTATGTAGGCGCGTAGGTTTCTTCTTTGATGGAATCGGCAAGTCGCCGAACCATGAGGAGAGGGCCGGCGGACAGTTTAACACCGAAGGCTTCAAAGTATCCAACAGTATCGGCAAAGCTTGAAAGGTACGATATCTTTCCGGAGTCCTGGAGGTCCCGTCGAGGCGACGCGTTGCTTTGATTGCAGGGATCCCACGATTCCGGGCCCGGAGGCATTGAAAAGAGCACGCCACGGAACGTGCAGCAACAAAGTATGATACCGCCACATGAGGGTTGACGAGAGCAAAAGGGGTAAAAGGGAAAGAAGATGACGCGAGAAAACACATTGCAAACTGATGACAGAGTCGAAAAGAAAGGAGAAAGCCCAGAGGCAAAAGTTCAAGCTTACCTGCTCCAGCTCCCAGTCCTTGCCTCTCCGTCCGCCGCGGCCTCCCTGGGTGACGGCGGAACCGCGCTCCTCGCTGCCGCGCGCCGACTCGCCGCCAGCGCCGCCGCCTGCGCCGTTCTTGACAATCTTCTTGGGCACCTTTGACGTCTTCTGCATGCTGTTCTTGAGCTGCGCGTGGAGCTGGGCGGCCAGCTCCTTGTGCTCGTCGTCAAAGGGCCGGATCCTGTCAACGAGGACCCAGTCGTCCCAGGTGTTCTTCCAGCCCTTGTAGTGCACCTTGTAGCGGTAGCCCTCGTTGGGCTTCTCCGCCGGCTGCACGTCCATGATCTTGGCCTCGTAGAGCATGTCCATGTGGAAGCAGAGGACCTTTTCGTCCTTTGCGAACGGCGGCGGCGGCTGTTGTCGCGCCGGCGCCATGGTGGGAAAGGGAATGAGATGAGATAGATGCTTCTGCGTGGGAATTAATCTCTGCTTTTTTTTTGTTGGTTTTGGTGGACGATCAGATTTGAGGAGGTTGTTATACCTAGAAAGAGGACGAGATGGATGAGCTCTTGTATGATGGCGTCTGATAGGTAGGATTTACACTTTGATGGTGATGAAGTCTGATAAAAGTCGGAATGGCCGTTGGCAGCAGAGGATGGATGTTACAGGGAGACACGTGAGTGAGATGGACTGGAGGTGAATGAGGCAAAGACAGCTCCAGGGCGATTCAGCCCCTGCTTCTGGGGCCGCTAAAGGCTTGAGCGGTGGGAGGTGGGCGTTCTGGCACTGTGCCACTGTGAGTCGCTGCTGTTTGGACGTACAGTGTCAATACCGTGTCGGGATCTCAGACAGCTTGAACCTCCTGTGATAGAGTCCTTGCTCACGGCAAAGTCTTTCGTATTTGTAGGAGCCAGCATTTGATCATACTGAACTTGAAAGAGGATCAATATCTTTCATTGTCTGGCGTCTCAACATCATTAGCTTTGGCCAGTAGAAGCTCATCAGATACCTTTGGTGACGCCACGCCAATCTCTCTAAGAATAAGGTATCGTTCCCCTTGAGAAACGTCGAGTTCTTCTCGAGCTTTCCACGCTCCAACACGCGACGCGAATAGCCAAAAAAAAAATCATGTCCCTTTTCGTTGACTTTCTAAAACATTGTAACATGCAGAGAGCAGATTTCATAGAGACTATGGGAGCAACAAGTTTCACCAGGTCAAATTTCTTCTCTTTATTTTCCCAGGTTGAATCGGGGTATCTATACTCATAAAAACTCATTTGCCTAGATTTCATCTCACCTCATAAACGCCTTGTTGAAGACTTTTCGGATAACCATCCTAAACTTTCAATCCCCAATGCTTTTTCTCCCAAAACAGGAGAAGCAACGCACGTATGCATATGTTGAATGCTCGCCCAACCGACCTTTCCGTAATCCCAAACGATGTCAAAGAAATCATTTTTTTGCTTGTGGGTGCCGTAATAACCCGTCTTTGTCACCTAAACCATGCCCAAACGCCGATGTTGAAATCGTGCCTGGCTACTGGCGCAAACTATGCCAATGCAGCAAACATGGCAAGTTGAAAGGTTGTTTGCGCCTAATCAGCCAGACCCCTCCTACGTTGCAATAGTAGGATGAGATACAAACAAACAATGTGAGTTGTTTATTTGGCGTACTTGGCACGGAAGTACTTGGTGGCGGCGATCATGTTGGCCAGAGCCTCCTTGGTCTCCTTCCACTGGCGGGTCTTGAGACCGCAGTCGGGGTTGATCCAGAGCTGCTCAGGCTTGAGGTACTGGAGCATCTCCTCGATGCGGTCCTTGATCTCCTGCTCGCTGGGAACACGGGGAGAGTGGATGTCGTAGACACCAGGTCCGATGTGGCGGGGGTAGGCAGAGTCGACGAAGACGCTCAGCAGCTTGGCATCGGACTTGCTGTTCTCAATGGACAGAACGTCGGCATCGAGGGCAGCGATGGCGTGGAAGAAGTCCTGGAACTCAGAGTAGCAGAAGTGGGAGTGGATCTGAGTGGAGTCCTCGACGCCGGTGGTGGCCAGGCGGAAAGCGTTGACAGCCCACTTGAGGTAGGCATCACGCTCCTTGCCAGAGCGGAGAGGGAGACCCTCACGGAGAGCAGGCTCATCGACCT